CATAGACAAATTAAGTGATTAATTGCAGGACTCATGTGGCATGTTCAAGTCAAACCAAAAAATCTCTAGAACTACAGTAGGAATTTTGTATTACATCTCTGAAAAAAACATAAGCTATTGTGCTTCATGCTTTATATCCTTCAGTGCCATTGCCTGCCATTGCCCATCATTGCACCATAAAAAAAACCCTGTACTCTGCCGTAGAGAAGGCCATGAGGGGGCAGATTTTATGCTGAGAGGCACTTCATGTGTGCGCTGTTCACTGCTGCTCTCAGAACAGAATGGGAATTGTTGGAGCAAACACCTTTTAAACAAATGCAGTGTGTCTGCAGTAGTGATTGTGTGCTTGGTTTTGCTATATTTTTTTGTGTTTATATCTGAATGGTTGAGATGATCAAGAAAAAATGTGTTCCTGTAATGTGTTTGGTGGTGGTGGTCATTTGCTTAGCCTAGTAGAACAAATAGAAGAAAAACTCATAACTTAATCAAGCTAAGTTACTTTTGTATTTCAAGTTTTAGCCTTAGATTGAGAAATACGAAGATATTTTGGGCATATGCCAGAGCATGTATGCTCCATGTATGGAGCAGTGGCGTATATGGAGCTTATACCCTCCCATGGGATGCCACTGTGGTGTGCAGGAATTTTATTCAGACTGAAACTGTTGATCCTATTTGGACAGTCCACACAGATCTTTCTAAAAATAGGTTTAAATTATTTTGACTTTTTTTATCCATATTTGAAAATAACATGTATGTTTCGAGTACTTTCTCAGGTTCTGATAGCCTTTATGTGTATAGCTATCTGAAAGCCATCTGAATTAGAACAAAAGCTATTACTTTAATGCTAGTACCCATTTTTTGTGGGTTTTTTTTTTCTGTCTTTGATTATTTTCTTAATGTTTACCTCCCTTCTGTGGCTGAATTTCATCATCATTGAATTTCATTCAGTATATCCATTATCCCACTGCCCTTCTGTCTTATGTATGAATTCCCTGTAGAAGTGGGCCTACAACTGTCTGAGTTGCTTAAGAGCAAAACCTCTCTTGAGACTATTATAAGTTGTCAAAGCTGAGCATGCTCTGGTAGTATCTCTGCTCTAGCAGGTTGTACTCATTGTGGTGGGTTTCTGTGCTGTTGCTGTGAGTGGTTTCTGCACCAGAGTTTTCAGGGCAAGGTGAGGATGTCAGCTGTAGTCACTTTTACTCTGTTCCACATGAAGAGTATTGCAGCAGAGCAGGGTCTGGTGATTACACACACTGGACAGGTAATTGCACCTGATATTCACACAGGGAATATCTTCAGTATCTTTCCTTGGCCCTTCACCCCTCTGTCTTTGCTTCTTTCTGAAAGTAGTTTTCATGTCATTACTTTATTTCTGTTCCCACTTCTTTTCAGTTGTTCAAGCCTCTGCAGGCTGTCAGTGGTGCAGCTTTGTGCTCTGAAGATGGAGCCACACGCATATACCTATCCAAGGCTGCAGAAGAAAAGCCCAGATGCTTGTGCAAGGTTCAAGGTATTAGAGGAGATGCTCCTGTTGGAAAGCTACTGCTTTACTGAACTGTTGCCTGCCTTTATCCCCTGTGGCCAGTAGTGGTGAGCAAGCTTAATGAGGAGCTTGCAGAAGAACTAACCCTGCTAATTGACACATCCATTTGACATTGCAGGGATGCTAAAATTTAGTATATTGGCCACATGCATATCTGTGACTTAGGAGCAGTAAATGCCTACTGTAGGTTCTTTTTTCTATTTTTTTCTTATTGGCAAATATTCTTACACTGATTTGTTACTCTCAAAAGAGTGTTTTCTGCCAGCATTTCAGTCATTCAGCCACTCTCAAGGAATCAGCGTTTCACCTTTTTTCACAGCCTTGCTGGTTTAGCTTTTTCCTCCTTGCTGAAGGAAATCCTTCAATGAAATGGACTCTGACAGGTTTGTAACAGGATGAAGGAGCCACTTCAATTTTCTGATGACTTTGCATAGTCTGTCTAGGGAGAGAAGTATAGCAATTAGCAGTTGCCTTCAAAAGAGGGATGTTAAAAGCCTATAGTATTGGCCATGTGAAAAGTCTCTCGTTTTTAAAGTGATTGTGGGTTTGCATTAATTGCTTATATTTTTTTATTATTATTTATGATAACCTGTAGATATCTTTGCAAAAACATTTGCTTCCTTTTGAGTCTTCCTCTATCCTACCCTCTTTGTGCCCCTGAAAACCTAGAAACAAAACAACAACAAAAAAATCCATAGAAAATATCTCAGTAAACTGTTCTGAGGGAGGTGTGCTGTAGAAGGTAGTATCAGTGACCTGCTGGAGCAGTTTTGTGCATAGTGCTCAATAGCATTCCTCAGTGGGTTGTCTCCTTTACAGAATGTAGCCACTCAGCCCATAGGAAGAGTCTTGCTTCAAAACCACATTCGAGTTTCTGGCAGAAAGCAGAAGTGTGTAAATGCAGGAAGATACATTTAACATTCAGACTCCTGTGGGAGTCTAATTGGGGGCAAGGAATAGGCACTGAAATTAGTAAGTTTCTGGTTTTGGAAGATGGAAATTAAGGGTAGGAAATTTAAATAATGGTTAGAGGGTTTTTTCCACACATACACAACTGTCATAAGAATTACTTGTTTTGCAAACCATTGCATTTAGAGAGAGGTATAATATTCCCCTTCAGTAGAAGAGGGAAACTGAAACTCCTTTGTACAAGTTTGGTGTGCCTGCATTTGCTCATATACCTACTAGTGTGTGGTTTCATGTGTGTAAATGCTGTGCGTTTTGTCTTGTCCTTTGCCTTGCAGACAGAAGATGTGCTTTCTCAGGACAGAAGGTTTGATTCTGCAGGGCCCTGATGTGTCCAGATTTAGCTAGTCAGGAGTGCTAATTTCCTGGCAGATCCAGTAGTGGATTATGAGTGAATCTGGCTAAATAGTTTTCTGTCCTGAGCTAGATTCAGTTACTGGAGAAAATCTTTGGTTTGGCTCTTTTTTCTCCAACTGCTAACACAAACTTTCCTAACTGAACAAAACCAAGGAAGTTTCAGATGTTAAGGTTGGTGAATGAATTGTTGCAAGGAACTGCACATGAAGAGTTTTCCAGAGAGTGCCATACATGTACCCGCACATGTATCACTTTTACCATAATCGGTGAGCTTGGCATAAGATTTGGTGCTAACAGGCAGTCCCAGGCTTAATATGTAATTTAGAGTATAAAGCCACTAAAATTTTCTTTGTCAGCTGAGTACTCAAATTCGCTTTTCATTAAAATATTTCGTTGTTCTTCTTCTCTAAAATGTCAGTATTAGCCACAATATCCTTAAACATTTTTTATATGAATTAATAGAGCTAAAGCATGTGGTATTCTTATCTCCTTTTGAAGTGAATATTTGCAGAGTATGCAAAGTATTTGCGTAACTTGCAGGCACTATGGTGATAGTGGATACATTGTCCAGAAGTTCATGATTTTATTTTTTAGAGAAAGCTGCATGGTTCTTAAAAGGTGTGACTAACATTTTTTCCTCTTTTGAACCTCTGGAGGATGAACATACTGGTTATTGAAGGCCTGTACAGGAGCTCTTCATGTGCTTACAGTGTTGATTTGTAAGGGTGTGCAATGTGTTGTTAAGCTATATTGACTATGATGATGCAGTGTAATGTGGTGGAGATTAGAAAAACGGGATGTTTTCATTCAATATCATCTTGATTGAACTGACCTTTGCAGGAGGAGGGCATTGAATCCAGGTTTCTCTTCAAAATTTGCATGAATATTTTTACATGCGCATTTTTAATTTGGCGGTTTGTGTCTGCAAACCTGATTCAGGGAGATAGACCTGATCAGCAAGTAGGAGTTAAGGATGACACTGTTCAGTGGCTGTCAAGGTATCTGTGAATTTCTCAGTTCCAGACTGGGTGCATGAAAAAGGTACTGTGTAGGTAGGTGACTGTTAAATCGGACTACTTGTGGATTTATATTCTCTATTTTAAATAATATAGCTTATTTACCCCCATCATGTATCCTCAGTACATGTTTTATGTGTTTTATACCTGTCCTAAATAGATTCTGGAATTAAATGACTAAATTAGGAGCCTTTTGGCATGTACCCTACTAATTGAATTACAGATTTATTCTATTTTACATTGTGATTTGATTTTGAAATAAAATCCATGATGGCTGTAACTTTAGGTCTTGTGTACTGAGAACAAGGGGGAGCTCAGTCCATTGATATGGAAGAAAGTTTGGAGTTAAGGATGAATGGAGCTATATTCTGCTTTAATAAAAAGATAAAAGCATCACTTTTAATAGAGAACACCAGTGCGGCTTTATCCTGAAGTTCAGGAAGGGTTTGTTGATGCTATATAGAATATAGTTCTGCTCTTTTTAAACACAGCAGTCAGTTTTTCTTAACCATCTTCATCAAGATTGGTACAGCTTCTTCATTTATACATGTATTTTCTATTTTTAAGTAGTTCAGTGGTTAGAACTTGTACATTTATGCCTGATCTCAACTATCTAAATCACTTTCTTGAGAACAGGGCTTTCAAGAACCTAGTTTGCTTCTGTATTGTGAATTTGCTCTTTTTTTATATTTATTTTTTTCTTTTTGCTTTTGGCTGTTGTCATGATTTGGATATGTTGCTTTAAAGAAAAAAGAGTTGGTTTTTTTTTCCCCCCCACCTATATGAGAGGAGAAAAGATTGTCCTCTTTTCAACTGTTTTAGCATAATGTGTCATGATAGCCTTGTACTCTTGGGCAAGAAGGAAATGAATTTATTTTCCCATTGTAATATTCATATAATATTCATGTTAAGCTTGTATGAAATCACATAACATAAACTTTTAGAAAGTTTGCTACATAACTCATATTTTGATTAAGAAGAGTATTTTACGTTCCATGTCTTCAGTCATGTGAAATGTTAATAATGTTTCAAGATGTCCTTCAAAATTGTTAAGTCTTTTTTTCCAAAGTTAAACTGGATAGCAAAAATAACCAAGACCATTCTGTTTTCTGCAGTACTTTGGAAGCTTGCTTGTAATATTCTGTGTTGAACTGGCCTGTGGTGTTTGGACCTACGAGCAGGAAATAACGGTGAGTCAGAAAAGGAGGCTGCATTTTTTCAACAGAAGAAAACACGCGTTTCCATTAGCTAGCCACTTTCTGATTGCTGTGGTGTTTATCTTTGTTCATTATTCCGACAGTCTAATTTCAAGGGACTGGCTCTTTTTTAAACAGAGAATTCTTCTGAGAAATCTTGTCTGTCTGGAAGGTCCCTTCTGAATTTCTCTCTATCCGTTCTATATTGGAGAGCCAAATCCTGCAGTCCCTGATTTAAGGACTTTATTTTTTGTTAATTCTCATGTAGGCAGGTTCTCATTGAAGTCAGTGGAAGTTTTGAGGATAAAGAATGAACTTAAGCCTTAAGATAAGTATTCTGAGAGAGGAGATGTGAAAATTTGAAGGGATTTTGCCCCAAAAGTTCTTCACGTTTTAAAGAGCTGAGTGTACTGCTTTGTAAACAGACAGTATGTTCTTTCAACAGAGGATTTGCTGTCTGCTGAAATCTTCACACTGCCTCCACAATCTATAAATGCCAGTTTTAAGCAAAACACGTCTTAGCTATAAAACACTCTTCTGTAAGCTTGTGAAGAGGTTTTATCTTTGTCTAGTTTTTATAGCTGTGCCAACCTTTAATTTTCAAACTGAAAACTTGTAACTGGCATGCAAGAAAATGGGTAAGTGTAGAGAAATGTTATTCTGCTGGCTGCTATGTCCTTACATCTTGTACTCAGTTTGGTACATTTTTATGAATAATGATATGCCCAATAGCCTGGTGTTTTCAGCAGAGAGTAGCAATTACATTGCAGTAAGATGGGAGAGAGTCTTTTGGGACCGAAGGAATTTCTGGCAGATTTGAAGTCTGAAGTTACGTGTCAGCACTTTGCATCAGCCTTCATTCCCTTGCTTGCAGTACAGATTCCAGAGGGGTGTTCTAATATGACAGCAATAAAGGCTATCCCTTTACTTTGAATGTCAGCTTACACTGATGCATTTTAAAACTGGAAATGCAGGCAGAGACATGCTTCATCCTATGGGCTCAGCTGCCCTCTGTGGGGGTTTTGCCAAGCAGAACAGTTGTAACTATCTTTTGGGGGTGTATTTTCTCTTTCCATCTGATTTTCTCCTCTTATTCCCTTTGTCCTGACACTACTGCCTTTCAGGTGATGAGGTGGGCCAGACTCAGGTTTCTTGCTGCTTTCTTGCTGCTGAGACCCCTTAGGGAATGTGGCAGTCTGGAAGAGCACAGTTGGCTTTCAGTGGTTCTTTCATACCTGTGCAGGTCACTTTCCCAGAGCATGCTTTCTCCTACTCTGTTTGATAAAGAAGACTTCCTCTTATACCCATGTGGTTGACTTGTCATATTAGTTTCACTGTAACATAAAATCACATGAGCCACTGGTGGGTTTGAAAGAGTCAGTTGGTGTTAGTGTAGGTGGCTGAGTGATGTTGTCAAAAATGCCACTGGGGGATAACTGCTTCTGCTGATCAAATATGGGCTGTCCTTGGCGTGTGGACAAGTTGCCTTGTATGTGTGCCTTGTGACTAAGAGTCCTTGTATGAATGATTTTCCTTCCAGCTCATGATAGCTCTCAGCATGAAGTGTGCTTCATGACTAATTTGTCCACCCACAAGATTGAAAAGCCAGTGTGGGTTCTCAGCTTACTTGGGCATTGGTCAAGCCTTGATACTCCTTAGAAAAATAATAATGAATAAGTAGATCTCAGTGGCAAACAGAGTTTTACAGAACTTATGCTAAACTCAAACCACACTACAGAAAACTGTTGGTGTATAGCCAAACAAATGCATCTCAAGATCATGTATTACTGTGCACTACTGCATGCGTGAACTGATGGGAAGCTATTTAGTAGATGCATTGATAGTCCTTAGTGTGACATGTTGGCATTCTTGGAGCAGTCAAGCAGATTCTGGTACCTCTCCTTAACTCCAGAATTCAAATTGCCTTCCTGCAGTAGGGTTTAGTTTGTTTTGATTTGCTTTTAATTTCCTTCTGTCACTTCTTGATTTTATTTTTTTTTCTTGCTTTCAATTGTTTTCATAACGAAGTTGGATGCCTTGTGTTACATGCGTAACCTTGGACTATATTCAACTCAAATAAGATAATAAAAACATAGTCTGGCAAGTATAAACTTAATTTCAGTGATACCAAATAATATCCAAAGAAAGCAGAGTGCTAACTTCCAGTGCGGTGGAAAGAGAAATGCATGGAGTACAAAACCAAATTACTTTATTAGAGTAAACAGTGTAAATGTCTGTGGTAGAACTGTGTTACTGTTTTTAAATAACCTTAGTATTCTACTGCTAAAACATTTTTCATGTGGACAGTTGTGAATTCAGTGCTTTATAGCTTAAGAAATAAAAACTGCTAAGTTAAAGGTGTGTTAAGTTACTGGGATATTATTAACATATTCATATTCATGATATATCAAGCTTTACCAAAGTTTCGATAATGTAGTATGACTTAGCAGTGGTAATGAAACATTATGAAATGTTCTTATTTGGATTATGGGGTCAGTCAGGTGGTGATTGTCCCTGTTTTTTGTAGAGCATCTGGCACAATGAATTCCAGGCTCCTTAGGAAGTATTGTGATGACTTTTTTTTTAGATACCATTTATTGCTATTTGCAGAATGCCCTTACCTTTGATTCCAGATTGAACAGGAGACCTAAGTCATAGCTGCTAGAAGAGCTGGGGTCCTCCGTCCTCCCAGTGAAAGCTGTAATTGTGATTTCTTTCACGGTATCTGTTAAGGCTGGTGGGAACAAGGCAAAACTCAGCATGAATGCTGTGCTGCAAAGTCTTCAGCTCCTTGTTTTAATTTGGCACACTGAAATTTGTGCTGCTGAGGTTAGTTATCTTGACTCGTAACTGCATTGTGTGCCAAGTGCCATAGGACTTGTTTCTGTTGTTTCTAAATAACTTGCTGGCTGAGGGTCATAGTATGACAGTGGGGAGCACCTCAGTTCTGAGTAGCCAATTTTGAAAGAAAAATACTTAAGAGTATTCTTCTTTCAGAAGGAAAGATTTACAAGGCTGCATGTGAAGAAAAAAGTTCATGGGGCCTCTATGTCTACACTTCCCTGTTACTATTGGACAAAGTACTGAAGTCAAGTACGTTCAGGATGCCTGCATGCAAAGCCAAAAGCCACTGAAAAGACTTGTGGTAAAATTCATCTCAGATAATTCTGTGTATTTAGAAGTTACACATTTAAATTTGTCACTTTACAAAGTAAAGTGGATTTGAGACTTCAATGGAATGATTCATCTGCTCTGTTTAAAATATTTATCTTGAGATGAGCTTCCCTATATGGCTGCCTGTTTCTTTCTATTGACTAAGATAACACCAGCGAAATATCTAAACTGGGGCAGACAAATGGTGCTCTGTTCAAGTTTTATGTCAGGTAAAAAATCTGGTGATGTCCTAATCAGATTGTACCCAGCTGTCTCTGAATCTCTCCAAAATGCAGCTCGTTTTCCAGTGTACATTAATTTGTACGCAAAGGAAACAAATAACTTTCTTCTGATATTTTAATAAAGTGTCATAAAGTTTCAATATCATAAAAATTGAAGGACTTATTTTACTGTTTAATTAAAAGTTGTTTTGGTCATTGCATTGGAAAGATCTCAGAATCGATGGAAATTCTGGGTTTGGAGCCACAAGCCAGCTGATCTGCTGTGTGAATTGCTTTTCTTTCCTTGCTTTAGGTTCCGGTGCAATGGTCTGATATGATCACACTGAAAGCCAGGATGACCAATTATGGCCTACCTAGGTACCAGTGGCTGACCCATGCTTGGAATTTCTTCCAGAGGGAGGTAAGGTGACAGTTAATTCATGATCTGAAGTAATACATGCGTGATCAATGTTATTTATGATATTATAAAATGTTATCTTTTAAAAAAAGGTTTGGTTTTAAGTGAATAGGTAAATAAATGCAAGTTCATTTCATGTGAAATCCTGTATAGTGGTAATGCCTGTTAACATCACTTGATACTCAACTCTTGATATTATATATGCCCTAAAAACCCTAAAACACCAAAAGAAGAATGTGAGTAAATTCAGTTAAATTGCTGTCACTGTCTTCTCCTTTGCCAGTAAGGTTAGGAAATCAACACCTTTTAGGATTGTTATGCCATTTAAGAATATGATGTATGTAAAATTTAAAATCTACAAATAAAGTGAAACAAACATTTCTATAGGCTGTTTTAATATTAAACTGTGCTCCCTTTCCTGTAGACTCCGTTAGTTACCCTCTCACAGAGCAGTCCTGGTTAAGACAATGTGTTCATCTGGAAATGAGGGGGACAGGAAGTTTCCAGAAAGATGCAAATACTGTCTCTTTGGCTGAGGTTTGAGAAGTGATCAGGGTTTTTATTCCCTTTGAGTGAAGGGGTGGGACACAAACCAAAAATCTTCCTTGTCTGTTCACAGCTTTGCCCTCTAGCCTACTAAAATTCAGAACTATTTTTAAAGAATGAAGTATTATGTTACAAAAACATGAAATTGCTCAAGGTAAAACCCATTAACTCCAAATATAACTCACGTGCAGGAAGAGAACTCTTTGAGTGCCTGCCATTGTGTTGCCCTTGTTGAAATCTTGAAATCTATCATTGTTGCACAGATTTCCTGTTTATTTAAACATTTCCTGGCAGCACTTGGTTAGTCTGTATTTATACTTAACCTGAAAGAAAAAGTGAGGACTACATGAGGTTAAACACACCCCCACCCTCCCCAGTTCTCTGCTTTGGCTATGCAAGTGCTCTGTGAGTAATTCTTCGTGCACAGGTAGAGTGTGTCTGTTCTGTAACTGAGGTGATATAATTAAATGGCCTCATTTTCCTTGAATAGACCTGGTACTGTATTTTTTTTTAATGTATAGATTGATTAAATTTAGAAGTTGCCTTTTATCCTCCTGGTTGTTGTGGTGTCATCATAATGGCTGGTTTTAATATGAATAAAAATAAATGTGGAAAAAGGAAGCTAATAAAACTTCAACTGTGCCTTAACTCTTCCAGGGGAGAAAAGGTTTCTTTTAGAACTTAGATTTCCTATATTCCATCTCTGGTCAGAGGAATGATCTGGGGGAAGTTTGAAGTGAACTAAGAAGTCTCTTTTACAGCTCCTACTTAATTGGTGGACTCTCAATTTTACTTTGTCTACTCATAACTCTGATGGTGGATGTGTGAGCCTGCTATGTGCTTTATGTCTGAATGAGCACTATGCCTGGGGCACTTCTCAGTTAACACTATTGTTTTCTTTGGGTTTTTTTTCCAAAAGAATAAAATTATAATTTGCAATTTTGTTTCCAAAGATTCAGCCCTGGTCAGCCTTGTGCTCACTCTTCTGTAGCTTTTCACATCTGAGAGAGATGGTAAATGTCTTTTCTCCGTAACCCCCTTGCTGGTCTACTATCATTTGTGACTATGCTAAGGAAGATGGGAAGGGTCAGTTGAAGTCAGGAAGGAAGAACTGGGCAGGGGAAGAAAATATTTGAGATTAATAAAAGGATGTTTAATGAGTAGTCTTTGCAATTACAGTGAGGAGCCGCAACTTGAGCATTGGGAGGATTTTGACCCACAAACTGATTAACAAAAAACAGCTCTAGTGAAAAAGGAAGATGTAGGATTTGTAAGAGGACTGGTGAAGTCAAGGCACAGTGTGTGCTAACCTTGTGTCAGGACACTGATTTGCTTGGTTTTGACTGAAAAGAGGCGTGGTATACAGGACTCTGACTCTGAAGCGGGTAAGGGGGGCAAATGTTTCCAACCCCACGGGTCAGAGGGACCAGGTGATGACTTACAAACTCAGGCTGGTACTAGAGAACATCCAGATGGGGGAAAAAACCAAAACAAAACAAAACAAAAACCCCAAAGCCAAAAAAACAGCTTCCTGTTCGTGCAGCAAGGCTTTTTTTTTTTCTTTTTTTTTTCTTCCATTATATCAATTCATCATCCAATTCCAAAGAAAATTTAATATAGCTGCTTTAACCCTTTTTTATGTGACAGCAGCTAGGAATGTTGTAGAGTGGTCATTTGGCTTTAATTCTCTTGGTGTTTTGCAGAGAAGACAGGTTGTTAGACCAGGTGGTTTTTATAGCCAATTATGACTCATCTGCTTTGCATCCAGACTTCTTGCTTTTATGGTTTGTTCTGTTGCAGTTTTTATTTTAGTGTAATACCCCTTCCTTCCTTTTCCCTTTTTCCTTTCAGCATTTGTCATTTCCATACCTTTTCACTCATTTTTTAAATCTTTTTTTCTTTGTCTGTATTCAGATAGATCTGTGTTTTTTCTCATTTGATTTTCAACAGATGTGTCCATAGTTTTAGCCTTGCAGGAATAATCCTCACTAGTAAGACCTTAATCACCTTTCCCTACTAGTTCCTTCTGCCACAGGTGTACTTGTTCATCAGTCACCCTTTATAATGTGTTAGTTCCTTGTAGTAAGGATAGCAGAATTACAGGGTAGGTCAATTTCTATGAAGCATCCCGTGGAGGGAGCAGCTGGGATTTAAACAGCAGAGCAGTATCATTGGCTGTTTCTGAGGTGCTCATTGTTCACTACATTTCTCATGTCACCTTTATGTCAAAGCACAGCAAAACAGGATATGTAGAAGCTTATGTAAAAGTCTTTAGTCCTACGTAAATGTTCTGGAAGTTGTTAATAGGAATTTATGTAGCTTTTTTCATGTCTTTCTTTTATGAAGAAGTAACATCATCATTGCTGATCTTGGCTAATCCTTCCTTTGCAGTTTAAATGTTGTGGGGTGGTGTACTTCACAGACTGGCTGGAAATGACGGAGATGGACTGGCCGCCTGACTCCTGTTGTGTCAGAGAGTTCCCAGGATGCTCTAAGCAGGCACATCATGAGGATCTCAGTGACCTTTATCAGGAGGTAAGAAGAGAAGTGTGGATATTTCGGAAGGCTTTGTACATTCTTCCTGATCCATTTTCCAAACTCATAATTTGCAATGAAGCACAAGAGTTTGTTGAGTAATTGTGTTTATGGGAAGTATTTGTTGTGTTTGTTTATGTTTATTATTGATTAGTGCTGAAGCAGAGGGAGAAAGAAAGAAAGGAAAAAGGAGAGAAACAACCCGCCCACCCTTACCTGGAACTGAGATGACTTGTTAGCAGTGCAGTTAACATCTGAGATGTGCTTGAATATTGGTTTTATAATGGTTAGGTTGGAGTTGAAATTTGCTTCAGTCAGAAATAAAAAAAAACCCCGAACAAATAGTTTTAGTGTAATGTCCAGGCTCCAGATTGCCAAAGGAAGAGAAATTCCACTTTCCGTGAAGTAATGAGGACTGGAGTGGTATGTTGTACAGTGAAGGATGCTTTTGAGAAGTCCTTTAGAAGATGAGAGCTCTTTTAACAGGGCTTATGCAAGGAGGCAGGTAATTCAGTTGCTCCACTGTGAGAATGCACAGAAACTTTGTGTGAAAATGCTCTTTCTCTCTAACTCTTCTACATTACACTAGGATTATTACTGAAAAAAAATAATCTAAAACAAAAACCTTAAAATCGGGAGAGGACCTTTTTAAAGTGGGTGAGGGAGGTGATCATGGTAGCAAGTCGTTACTGTTCTTAGGGTGAAATTTACACAAAGAAGTAAATATGTTCTCTACTACACAATTTTAACTGTTCTCACAAATATGTTGTCTAAAGTCACCTTTGCCTGGAGACTGCTTTGATACCTACCATTTTGGGGTTTTTGTTGTTTGTTTGGTTTTTTTTTATGCTAGCAGACCTCTGAAAATCTTTAATTGTGCATTCAGTAATAGCAGAATGACCAACAGGCCAGGTGGTCCAGTAGTGGCAAACCCCATGTCTACGTCAGGTAGTTAGGAGATTCTGAGAAGAGATACATTTTTTCATTTGCTCTCTTTAAAAATAATATAGGGTGCATAGAAAGGAGGATGAGCCTGAGAAGTATCCTTCCACATGCTGTAGCATGAATATTTTTCCAGCAGACAATGAAATCCTGCATTATGGAAGATCACGCAAAGAACCATTTTATCTTGTCCCAGTCTCTTACCACTTCAAAAACTTTCTTACAAGAATCTAATTATGTAGCTCTTGTTGAGATGCTATGGAGAGATACCTCTGAAGCAGGGGAGACCCACTGTAAAAACAAGCCAAAATGAATATTAGCTGTTGCCAGGAAAGAATCTGGTTTTGTTGAAATGCATTTGTATGGCATTGACTCTATGAGCAGAAATGATGTAATTTATTATGGACATTCAGACATCCATCCTAGGCTTGGTGTGATTCCACTAGGAAGTGAGAAGGAAGAGCTGCCAAAAGGCCTGTGCCTCAGAAGGCCAGTCTGTGCCTTAAAGACAGTGGCAGAGGCTGTTTTCTTTCCATCAGCTAATTGTAGAGACTCTCCTGCCTTATGGCAAAGCTCCCAGCACTGGTTACACTTTAGAAGTGTTAGTCTCTGAATCGCAAAGGACTTCAGCAGGCCCCAGAAGAAGCCTAGTCTCTTACTCATGCTTGAAGAAGAATGAACTGTGGCTCACTTTGCAATAATAGTTGTTGGTTTTTTTTTGTAATACTGCTGCCAGTATTGACACCACACAGACCAACTCTGCCATAGAGAGTGCTCAAAGTAAGAGTGTGGAAGCTGCAGAATGTTCATTTGCCTTGAGTATCCTTCTTGCTTATGTGAAAAGGCAAGAGTACGTAAGCAGTGTCACTCAATGAAAAACAAATTGTTGAGCTTGGGAAGCTGAGAAAATTCTGAGGAGTACTAGTCATTGGAGTGTCTTGTTGAAACTGCAGGGTTTTCTTATGTCATCTCTTCTGCTAATATTTCATTCCCCTAGCCATGTTCTGGGAAAGTGGTTCTCTGTGCGCTTTGTATGTTCAAGTTCTTTTGGTTCTACTTGTAGAAAATTAACAGTCAAAGATGATGATGTTGTAGAACATCAGGGCTTTGTTAAGACCCACTTAATAAAGCCTGCCTGGCTTTTTTATGAAAGAAACCTGAAGGGCATATTTCTGGTTCTTCCCCTACTATACCTCAGAGTATTTTGGACAGATTCAGCTTTTAGAAAAAAAAATTTTTCCTTACCTACTCCATAATCCCTTAAAAAAATGTTTCACCAGCCACAAAAATACTCTTGTTGCTTTATGATATGTACAGTATTTGGTTGGCAAAACATTTGTTTTTTCCATGGTCCTTGCCTGTGGGTTGTTTCACAGGCTCATAGGATGTGCTTGCTAATATGTTTATCGGTATCATGCAAAACCAGCTTGCACTTGCAAAGCTAATCGGTCTGACTTCTGCTTTGGAGATTTGAAGGAGAAAAGCCATTTTAGAAAGTGATTCCAAACAAACTTGCATAATTTGGTAGTTTGAGAGGGAGCCTGATGGTATTAGACTCGCCAGCCTAAAATGGGCTTATGTAAATGCTTTGCAAGTTCATTTTGGTACTTCAGAAAAGTTCTTTGTAGTAGTTCAGAAAACTGAAGTTTGTTTTGGCTGGGATTTATCACGTAGGTTTTTTTTTTGTTTTGTAGTTGTGCTGCAGTTTTCTACTGCGATTTCGGAGCTTTCTTTAAGTTAGAATCCTTCACAATACAATTTTTGTAGGAAGAAAGGTGGCTTAGAGTTTTGTTTGAGAGTTATTTTCAAAGCTGTTTTTCAAATGTGTTAGTTGTCTTGGACTGCTTTTATTCTGATGAGCTTCACCTTTGGTGCAGTCCATGGAACAGTCTAACCTTAGGGCGTGGTTGTGAGGGAAATGCATCATGACACATGTAAGAAACTCAAAGATTTACTGTGGTCTGAGGACAAGGGCAGCTCTGCCCATCTTGTGACAAGGAACTGTAACCTAGACAAAAGGATTGGTAGGAGTTGGTATCTTCAGAATAATCAAAATTGCATAGTCAGTATTTTTTTTTTTTTGTATTCTGGTATGCTCTGAGTATACTCAGAATTTGAGCATACAAGAGGTCTGTTGAATATGCTGATTCTCTTTCCTACTCTGAGAATGCCTTCTTTAAGATCTGCTCCTTATTCTCAGATGTTGCAGTAAATCAGAAATATCTGGTTTGTTTCCACTTTGAAGATAAAATGGCCTTTGTAATAAATATGAATCAGGCCTTTAATCCATAGCTCTGTGGGAATTTGAAGCTAATCCTTCCGAATGATTGCTGCACAGTTTTATACTACTTTTGAGCTGTCAACAAGAGCTTCCTTTTTAGTGACAAACTTTTACTTTTGCAGGGAAGTATATTTATGTACCCTTTGATTGCAGGCTACCAACTATGAATGTGTTGCATAAGCAGAAATAAAATGCATGAATGTGAGGATAACAGGGGTGGCTGGATATTTCTCAATTTTAAAACTGATTTTGAATGTGTATTAGAGCAGAACTGCAAGAATATCATTAAATGGAGGGAGGCAGTCTATCTAGTTCAGGCATAATTCATCTCAATTATGTGTCTGTACTGCAGGAGATGCAGGCATTAATGTCACTGCTCTCTGCTAATGGATGTTTCCTCTAGGCAATGAATGAACTGAATTTGAATACTGCTGTGGTTGAGTATTTTTAACTTGTGACTAGCATGTACCTTCATTCCTTAAAGTTATTAAAAGTATTAAAATGCAGTCAGCTTGTCTGTAATTAAAAACAAATTTGGAAAGTAGTATAATTACAGCACTGCCTTCTAGTTCAAGAAGACACCAATGTGACATTTTTTGTTCCTTATCAAGTTCAATGACAATGCTGCTTCTACAGTGTTTTTTTTTTCTTTTCAAGTGTCAAAGAATGCACATTCACTCACTGTTCTGTGACTATAAACTGTATTAATGTTTAGAAGCCAACACAGCGAAATGAAGAATGGAGCAAAGAGATTGAGATCCTTTAACTTTGGTACCATTATCATAAAGTGCATTAATTTAATTTAGATACTCAATGAAAATCTGTTGAGTGCAGCATGAATTTTTTGTGTGAGGCAAGAATTGGACCTTTCATCAAATACGCTGGGGACTGTAGCATCTGAAACTGTTGGCTTTAGGGACTTTCAGTGTGATTGAAAAGTGTTATTTAGCATGTTCTGTCTTCAGATTCTGTCACTTTGATCAATTGCTTTCTTCTCACAGAAAAGCTGTAAGAAACGTAGTAAGTATATAAACACAAAAACGACATTTTGAAGATAAAGCCTATCTTGATGGGTTCCTTGTCTTCTGGGACCAATGCCTATTGATTATTTGGGGTGTTATCCAGTCTGTTACTCTGAATTTTCCCTTGGTGGCTGTGTGCCGTTGAGTTTTGCAGCTTTGCAGGTTGTGAAGCCTTGCAGAGTTTAGAATAGAGAATAAACATTGGCCAGTCACTAAGGGTCCCTCAAGGTTTTATCCTGTCTGAGACTGGGCATTACCTTTCCTGAGCAACAAGCATCGTAGCCTGTGTTTGTACTGTTGTACAGTAGTTCCCAGAGCCAGTGTCTATTTGTGGATCATTGCTGCCTTAAGAAGGCTTGGGAGCTTTTCTAAAGCCTTTCACAGCAATTATTGGTTGGCCATGTATGCAAAATTTGGAGCATGTGCTGATGGTTTTGAAAGAAACAAATTTCCATTTCTGGGACACGTCAACTTGGGATGTTTTAACATAGTTTTTTACCAGATCCTTTCTGTGTAAAAAATAATTATTATTCTGTAAATAATTGCAGAGGGGGCATATAGGGATGCTGGGGGTGGACTCTTCATTAGGGACTGTAGTGATAGGACAAGGGGTAATGGGTTAAAACTTAAACAGGGGAAGTTTAGATTGGATATAAGGAGGAAATTCTTTCCTGTTAGGGTGGTGAGGCACTGGAGTAGGTTGTCCAGGGAGGTTGTGAATGCTTCATCCCTGGCAGTGTTCAAGGCTAGGTTGGACGAGGCCTTGGGTAATATGGTTTAGGGCGAGGTGTCCCTGCCCATGGCAGGGGGGTTGGAACTTGATGATCTTAAGGTCCTTTCTGACCCTAACTATTCTATGATTCTATGATTTTATGGTATGCGTGACCATATTCCTAATACAATGTGTGGATTGTCACCTCTTTGGAGCAGGGTCAAGCTGCCTGCCTGGCTCGCTTTAAGTAGCAACAGCACAAGATACGAAGCAAAACTGGCCGTTGGTATGCCATCATCACAGTAATTGGAAGGAAAGTTTCTATATTCGAATCTGAAATTAAGCCAGTTAATTTTAAAATATAGTCATAGGCAGAATGTAGCTAGCGTAAGTGGATATGTTTTTTGCAACGAGGAGATGCAAGTAGTTCAGAAATGAAAAGTAGGTGTAATGCCACATGTATGTAGTATTATTATCACTAAGTACTAAATAAAGTCTGTTTGTGTACCCCCTGTGTTCTGGAAATTTGTCAGAAGTCCTCCATTAAAGGTTATTTTATTCAGTGCTCTTTACTGGTGACTGGAATGTAATGGTTTTTCTACTCCCTTAGAGACTTTATGTGGAACTAAATAAGCTGGCATATAATGAGCCCAGATAAAAGAGAAAAGGTGGGAAGAAACTGATGAGGTTATGCAGGTCTGTAGATATTTCCTATAATATTGTTTAAACTTCAGATTGTGGTGGTAATTGTATAAAAAGTCTGATGAGTTTAAAATAATTGACACCTTTGACTTTGAAGACCTGCAAATTAAGGAGAGAAAGAAGGGTTAAGAGGATTTTTAAACCTTCACAAAACCAGTTGAGTTTCTTTAGAAAACAGATATATTTGGTAGGAACTCAGAGTGATTTCTGAATTAGAGTAGCATAGATCTTTTAGAGCTTATGTGCATTAACCTCTCAGTGTATGAGTAAACTTGAATATGTCATTATGGAAGTGATTAAAAAGAAGGCAAAATAATTTTCAAAGTATTGTTTGAAGGAGGCAAGAGAGAAATTTTGGGGAGCCAGGAAAGGCACTAGGTAGGATGAGCTAAACCTTGGGAACTGCAAACCAAATAATACTAACTTTTAAATTTTTTTTTTTGTTTCATAGGGATGTGGTAAAAAAATGTACACTTTTTTGAGGGGAACAAAGCAATTGCAAGTGCTGAGATTTCTAGGAATCTCTATTGGAGTAACACAGATCTTGGCTATGATCCTCACGATTACTTTGCTGTGGGCTCTGTACTATGACAGAAGGGATCCTGGAACACATCAGATCATGGCCCTGAAGAGTGATACCTCGCAGCAGCTGTCATGTAATTCTGTGGAGCTACTGACACCAAGCCTGACAAGGATCTTTGAACATACATCCATGGCAAACAGCTTTAATACACAGTTCGAAATGGAAGAGCTATAGGTGATGCAATGAATCTGTGAAGTCACAAAGTGTTTTAATTGGGTTTTCTTGTTGTTACTTTGTTCCATCAAGTATGCCAGATATACCAGTCTTCATGTGAATCAGAAACAGCTGATGAATGGAAGTGAAGGAGGCCAGCAAAGAAAGGATAACCCAGTCAGCCTCTTAGCCATAGTCTCAGCCATGAAGTAGAGTTGAATGTGTTTGTTTTTTAAAAGGCACTCATTCACTGGGCACAGTAATGCTTAACTTATTTTCACAAGCTGTGTGATGTGTAAAACACTGATTCACTCACAGGCAGAAAACCTCTAAGGAAGCATCACAGCAAAGGAAGAGAAATACTCATCTTCAGAAGAAATGACTGTTCTTTAGACTAACAAAATGTGACTTCAGTTGAAATTGACTTTTACATTTTTAATAAGCCATTTTGAAATGTCTTAATCAGGGATCTATGTATATGTAATTGTGTGGTTTTGTGCTGCGTGCATGGGAAGCAGAACTGCAAGTCAATACTTGGATTTAAAAATTCGCAAGATTTGTAAAAAAGGGCAAGATTTTCTTTTTCTAACAAAACTTTTAGCTGTTGTTTAAGATGTTCTAAAACATCTATTTTTATCTTAACAACTGTTTAATTTTTAATTTTAAATATATTAAATGGATTGAAACCAAAACAATGACTCTGGACAATAGACTTAAATTTTCTGAGTAATTCTGGAGAATTCTTCTTTGAAACAATTTGTTCTAAGGACTGTTTCTTAAGAAAGAAAGCCTTAAACATTCTTTCGAAAGTGGAATCAATATGGGAGTAGCACATTTTATAGATAAATTTTTTCTCCTGTCTGTGATTCCCCTGAAGGTAGAAACAAAGGACTACAAGGAAAATGCTTACAGTTCTGGATGCTATTGCAATAATTGTAAAAGTGCATATGGAGAAATTATACTTTGTCAGTTTCTTCATTAAAAACTATCTAGTGGCTTAAAATGCCAACTGGAAACAGAGTTAAAATGTATTTATTGAGATGGCGAAAGTGCATTTTACTGTATTTTTATGAACAATGTTTATTTCATAGGATTATTTTTACAATTGGCCACATTCCTGAAATATATATTACTTCCACTGAGTACAGTAGTCTGTGGCAAATGGGTTTTTACATAATACTGCATTTTAAAAATTCTTCCATTTGTTTTGAAATTTGTAAAAGAAAAAAAAAGATGTGATTTGGTAAACAATAAAATTACTTTTGTCTTAAATTCCGTAATGGGTGTTTTTATTTTGAAGTTCTAGAGCGTGAATGCTCTGGGTGGCAGCTGACAGGGTCCCTCTGCTAGTGTGAGTTAATTTGATGTGTCTTTACCCATTCCACTTATTCTGTTGTGGAGAAACGGCATTGTAAATTTCATTTTCTTTTTTATTGCTTCTGAGAAAGCTTCTTTAGGGGCTCATGAAATTGAGCTCTTCAGTTGTGTGGGCTGTTGTTTAACAGTCTACGTAGGGGTGTAAGTATTTCACGGGTAGTATTGCAAGCAAGATTACCTTTCTGCTCTTGCACCTCTCCTGCAGATGCTAACACGTATTTTTGGAGGTAAGAAGGTGGCCGAAGGATAGTCCTTCCCAAAATTTTGCTTAGAGTACTTTTGTCAGAAACACTTCCTCATGCACTGCTTGGGAAGCCTTGTGCCCAGCGGTACTGCACATGTACAGCAGAATTCCATCCTTCCACTGCTCAGCTGGGACTGTGTTGCTGTAGCTAATGGTGAGGTTTCTGAGTAGAAAAAGCAGATGTTTGAGCCTGGATGCAGACCAGCTGTAGACCTTGATCATGATACGCAGTGGATTGAACTCATTGCTGGAGTTCTTTTACCCTATTAAAAAGCCAAACAAAACACAAATTGTGGAATCTTGGATTGTGGATTGCATGGATCACATGTACACAGATATATTCAGCTCAGTGTAGGGAATTTCACCAGAGTACAAAAAATTATCCAGGAACTCCTGACACTAAGCTTTACTGAAGGTGTGTCTCTGGAAGCTCTTTTAGCCATGCTTCAGCCATCCCAAGTCCTCCCGTAGGAGGAGGTTGCCTGTGAGGATTGCCTTCATATCTTAGGTTAGGGCTCATGAAGGAGCAAATACACAGCAAGCTGGGTTAGGGAGATGCATTGGAGAAGTCCACAGCTAGAATTAAGATATTCTGACAGGCCAGGTCATTTGGGTTTAAGCTTCCCTGATGGTGAGGAAGCACTGCCATTAGATGTAGTCAGGTTACTTTAGGAGGAGAGGGATTTTTTTGGTAGGGCTCCTTTCAAACAGGACCATCCTCCCAGACTGGTGTTTGTGGGCTACTACAAGAGTGACCATCCATGGGCAGGGTAACCTCGCTTGGGATTGGCTGCGTAAATCCCAAGCCGGTCTGCATCCAGTATGGGGCTAGTTTAATTAGGGAAGAGACCCGCATGTCAGGAATGATAAAAAGTATTCCCTTCCCTAGCAAGGAGTTTGAAGTATTCTGGGAAAGAATCTTTCTGAGTTGCTGTAATAGGTCTTGGCTGTAAATTGGAACACTTTCAAACTTTTTCCTTTCCCTGTGCTCAGACTCTGAGGGGTATCTGTTTTTCTAGGGCTTGTTCAAAGAGCCTGAACATTGATTGACAAGGCTGTTCTTTTCCTGTAGAGCTTCAGGATATATGTAGGAGAGAGGCTGCTTGGCGACAGAGGAACATGTAGAGATGTTTGCAACAGTAAGAACTACTTCATCTTTTTATTTCCTTTTTCCCCTGTTTTTCAGGAGTACCTGGAGGAGAAGAAGCAGTGTGTTCTCTCTTCACTGCAGCAAAATCTGTAATGAACCAAATCTTTCTTGTTGCAACACAGACAACTATGGAGCTGCTCGTTAATGTTTTTCACAGGTCACTTAAGGAGAGCAGCTGTGTTAGAAAAGGGGTCACCCCCTGCTTGCATTAAATGTTTCTGTTCAGTCCTGTGCATCATGCTGAGTCCGTGGGATGGTGTTTGTAGCTATGGGACTCAGTACGCAGCCATGGGAGCATGGGGATGCCTTTAGGAGGCAAAATTCACTATTCCTGGTCTTTGGACAAAGTACTCATTTGTATGACAAGGGTTTCTAAAGGAAACATAACTGCATTTTCTCTTTTTTATAACAGTTAATTTTGTAAAAACAACCCATAAATACAAGCGAATATATAAATGATAGTGAAAGGAGAGGCTGTTTGTCACAGTGACTATACAGTTAAATATGATGGAGGAGGGGATTTTCAAATAGTTTCTGAAGTTTTTACTGCAAAAGCATTGTATTGGGTTTGTGTAGCAAGGATTTGGTAACAGGGGGGCTGCAGGGGTGGCTTCTATAAGAAGTTGTAGAAGCTTTCCCTCTGCCCGAGGGAGCCAGTACCAGCTGGCTCCAAGACAGACCTGCCACTGGCCAAGGCCAAGCCCATCAGTGACAGTGGTAGTGCCTCTGGGATAACATAGATAAGGGGGAAAAACATGCACAACAGCAACTCTATCCAGAGAGATGAGTGAAAATATGTGAGAGGAACATCCCTGCAGACAGGTCAGTGAAGGACGGGAGATTGTGCTCCAGGCAGGAGCACATGCAGGCATGTGTTCCATGGCTCCATAGCATGGGCCATGCTCTCCATGCTGTGGCTTCATGGAGAGAAGAGACCATGCTGGAGCAGGCTCCTGGCAGGACTCGTGACCCCGTGGAGATCCACACTGGAGCAGTTTGTGAATGCAGCCCATGGGAAGGAGTCACACTGGAGAAGTTCATGGGGGATTGTTTCCTGTGGGAGGAATCCCATGCTGAAACAGGGTGAAGAGTGTGAGGAGTCCTCCCCTGAGGAGTGAGGAGCAGCAGAGTCAGTGTGTGATGAGCTGGCCGCAATCTCTGTTCCCTGTCCCCCTGGGCAGCTGGAAGGGAGGAATCTGGGAGTAATGTTGAACTCAGGAAGTAGGGAGGGATGGGGAGAAGGTGTTTTAAGATTTAGGGTTTATTTCTCATTATCCAAGTCTGGTTTGATTGGTAATCAATTAAATTAAATTCAACTATCCAGGTGATTATGTGTGTCTGCCTTTGTCAATCAAAATATGTTAATTCCTGACTGCTCTTTTAGCCTCATGTTGGCATATCCCATTGGCTGATTGCTATTCCAGAACTCCTGATAATCTTAAGATGTTTCCATGGTCAATGGGAAAATAAAGTCTTGCTGGGCCCCATGTGCAGGAAAGAGAGCATATGACCTCCTAAGCACCCTCTCTACCCAAAATGTAATGATCCTTGGATTTCACTAATTTATCCTTCTCCAGACCAGTTTCCTCTCCAAAAGCCACCCTTCTGTCTGGAGCAGCCAAGGTTGGATTGTGCTCTGCTCTGCAAAAGCCTTCTTTAGGCAGTCAGGGTGTTTCATAGCGAGTATATCCCACACCTCAAAATGTAAAGTGTACATTTTCAGTTTGTCTCCTGTGGCTGTTTTGTGGAAACACAGTCATTCACCTTAAAAATGCTCTGGGATGCTTTGCAGGCAGGTATTACTTCTACCTTCCCTCCTTCCCAGTGCAGTTAGCTCCTGGCAAAGGTGGCTCTCATGCATGCCAGTGCCATTGTATGCATAGCTGCTAGATGAGCATTATCTGCTCTAGCAGTCACCCTTTGTAAGGCGTCCATCCTATGGTCTTACCCACTCTTAGGTGTGAAAGGATCCTAATCTCATCTGTGCACTAATATTTTATCAAGGGAAGTTGGTACCAGGTTTCAGGAGGCTCCGTAGCCTTCGTTAGAGAAGGAAAAAGGTTCTATGAATAAGTTATTGCAAAACCAAGTCGACCCATTCAAGCATGCAGATGTTTTATTTAAATACTCCTCAAATGCCTATTTATTCAGCATAATGTGTATTATGCTGCCTTCTGAAATACGATATATGACTGTCAAACAAAATTGTCAAAACAACAACCTCGGTTTCTTTGTATGATACACAGAAATAATTACATTTCATGTACAGTACAGATGCATTTTACACAGTCATCAACAGTCATTCACTACTAAAACAGCATTTAAATCACCTAAAACACCAAAAGAATGCGTATTTCCCAAATTCAGAATTGATTAATGATTTTGCATGTGACATGGAAATAGGCGACAGGACTGGAATTCTGCAAAATTATACTAAATTATTCCCTAAGCTGCATTTAAAAGATGAAAGTACAAGTTGCTTCAGGGGTGTCACTGTTATGCAAGTGTATTGCTGTAGTGCATTCCTTTTAGTCCATATGAAAAGGAGAATAAAGATATTTTAGAAGATGATGGAGTCAGTAGTTTCCTGGGTTGTATGTAGTTTGTCCCGAAGTGGATTTAATAACTGCCTTTTTGCACTATTTACCTGATATAAGTCGCCAAGATGTACCATGTGGCATAAAGAAGTTGTTGCAGATTGATAGTATCAAGGCAGCTTTTATAACAGTAGCTGGTGGGGATGAAACATTTTTGGATGGGTAACCATGGGTAGAAGTAGGATGCAAGTAAAAACTCTAGGTCCCTTCCGC